AACAGGACAGACTGGATCCTATAGCCTTCACAGAAAGAAGCGGTGACCTACTGCGGGATATCTGCCTAGTTAGTCATGAATCAAAACAGACATGATCGCGCAAGCGCATATCACGTACAGCGTTTAACTAACTCAGTCTAGAACCCATCCGGATGGTGCATTTTTTTTTTTTTTTTCGGGCTGATTCTGGTCATTAAATGCTAATCTTTTTAAACCATTAGCCTTTTGTGAAATTTAATTAAAAATATTAAGTCAGTAATAAGGTATTAAAGTGATAATTTCAGATTTTTATCTGCACGTTTGCAACAGTGGAATGTAATAAATAGTCGCGTTTAAAGTGTCCTAGTACCTGAACTGGAGACATTTCTTTTTCACTGTGTGGTATGATATAATTGATAACGGAATGTGAAATCGGAGAGCCTAGCTTGAATTCCAATCGGGTTCGTTACGTTCACTTACGCGCAAATATCTTTGGGGGATGTATAAATCCATCTTTTCTCTTCCCAGCTATGGGTTAAATAGCAAGATAGACTGGGGTCTATAGCCTTGGTTAGCAATGTCTACCGCATAAAGAAACAACAACCTACTTCGGGAATATCTTCTACTTGGCCATGAATCGAAAGAGACTTGATCGCCCAAGTATGTATTATTTACGACACTTAACTGACTGACAGACATCTTTGATCTGATACCTGCGGCTTACAATGAAGAATACTCGAAGTGGTACGATAATTAGAGCTCTGCTCTCGCAAGCCATTGGGGAGCAAGTTCGTTCCTCACCGAATCCGAAGACTGTTAATTGATAATGTTCGACTCATTCATCGTCGTATGCTTCAAGGAATTCTTATTACTTTCTTTTGAAAAGATTTATTGTGTAACTTGAAGAATTTATCAGAGAATTGAATGCCGGCCTTGTAAAAATGATCATGTATTTCTTATCGGCTCGATCCCAAGTAAAACCCAATTTTTAGATACACATTCTTTCCTGGCGCTACACAATCTATTATGTTAACTATTTCTCGCGTGACGAAAAGTTGATTATTCTCAAGTTTTGCATTGAATAATTTACCATCTAATTTTAATAGTTTGACCGACCGTGTAGCATAGTTCAACGAGAAATCTCCCGTACGAAACTCTGCAAACTATTTTTGATACGTTCGATTATTCGCATTACCTTCTCCATAAATTATACAAACCATTTTTGCCTTCAATGTATTCAACCTATGTTAACACAAACAGCAAAATATACCCAAACTTTTGCTTACTATTTCTATTTCCAATGTTAAATTCAAATAATCTGTGGCGAGTACAATTTTTTTTTATTGTCTTAAAAACGAGGATTTCGCGAGTATATATTCATATAATATCTTAAAATATATTAAAACAAAATGGGAAGGTATAATATAGATAAAACTATTACTCACCGTAAAGTGGTGAATCGAAAAATATAACAAAAACAATCAACAAAAAAAGATAAAAGGTTATCGCTCAACGCTCTTCAGAATTCAATCGAGGACAAAATACACTATTTAAATAAGGGGAAAGAAAAAACTACTAGAAAATCAGCAATATAAATCACTGACAAATTACATTAGGATCTAGAAACAACACTGAGGTCAACACAAAACGATCTGAATATTACGTTGAAGCATGAAACAAACTATCGCCGTTTGGTGTTGACCTAAGTGTCCATTTTATATTTACATTTGCTCTATTTCTAATATTGAACAGTTTTACCCATAAATATGGCATACCCTAAATCTATATATATATGTGGGGGGGGAGAAAGAAATAGAGAGATAACAAATATATATAAAATATATTAAAAAACATGTAACAAAAAAGAAAAAATTAACCGGCTATCGCTCCTCGCTCTTCATAGCTCAATCGTGGCCAAAGCATATGAATATGTGCGCAACGACGAAGAAGAGAAGAAAATACTACCAGAGAATCAGAAATATAAATAACTGTTAGACTAAATTTGGCCAGAAACTGTTCCTTCATCGTACAGGGTAAGGCTGATTAGGCTTAATACACAAGGTCTGAAGAACTTTCAAATGGTAATCCGAATGTGCTCTGTTGACTGCTGTGAAACAATCTCTGGTAAAAGACGACCATGCAAATCTGATTATTTATTATATATTATTGCAATCGGGAGTATTAACAAATGCATATAATTTTTTATACTTCCCTCGACAGGTCTGAGCTGATACGTGCTTATATATCCTCGTCTCTAACTTCTGATTAGTTTAGCCAATATATTCAACATCGCATTCACATTCAAAATCATAAATCACCGAGCTAACTTGATGGGGTACAGAAACAAAAAATACGCCAATATTTCTAAAGGATGCTAAATATGACAGCTGTCAAAATACAAACAAAAGCTTTTTTAAATAACGACCTGAGTTAAATGTCATCTTACGACAAACACCGTACGGTCTTTTTGGTCATATCAATAGTTAGCAGTAGAGCCCGGCGTTGCCCGGGGATGTAACAGTAAGAGATAGATCAAGTATCGACCATCATAAAGACTGAAAAATAAAAGTGACAAAGATTATTGTTTAAGGTTGACGGACACGCATGTCTTAATTTTTTTTTTTTTTTTTTGTTTTTTACGAATTGGTCAAACCCAAACTCAAACAAAAATATGTTTTCAATCGTTATGAGTCTACCGATTGAATAGAATTTTATTATAAACTATTGTCTTGTAAATGGAATTTTAAAGCATTCTGGATGTAAAAATAAAAGAAAAAATGTGCAAGACAATAAGAAACACTACCTGCCAAAAAAAAAGTGAAGTTTTGTTGAAATCGGTTGAAAAATGTAGGAAATCCTATCCCATATATAAACGAACTCACACACACACAAACAACCTGGGTTTTATAATAAGCATAACTCGATATGAGTTGTCCCCCTTTCATTCTGGCGACAGAATCGTGTTTTATCGTGTTTTCAAATTGATTTTGTGCAAAAAGAAATTGTGTTTTTCCAATTTTTGGCGCTGTTAGAACCACCGCAAGGTAATTTTACGCAGTCCTGTGAAGTTTTGTTGAAATCGGTTGAAAAATGTAGGAAATCCGATCCAATATATAAACGTACAGACACGTACAGACACACACACACACACACACACACACACACACACACACTCTGCGTTTTATAATAAGTAAGATAATAATGATATCATCATCATCATTCTTCTTTTTCTTCTTCTTCTTCTTCGTGATCACGGTGCTCCACAATTTCCTGTCTCGTGTGGACTATAGTAACGTTTGTCTTTTCGTTATATCTCCTAATCGTTCGTTAGGTTGATTATGACCTGCTTCCTTCTGTCCCTCTCGCCTTCAATATGCCCAGTGAGTGTTCACTTTTCCAAGCACTCTTTCCTCACTATATACCCTAGAAATTTCAACTGTTTCCTTCTGATGTTATGCATAAGGGTCATTTGGTTTTCATTTTCTCTAAAATTTCGTCATTGCTCAATGTTCACTGCCATATAAGAGGACCGATATTACACAACATTTCAATACACTTTTCCTTGTTTCTAATAAAAAAAACTACCGTTCCATAATGCTTTATATGGGAAATACTTGTCATTCATTTGTTGGTCTCAGATTGCATTATGCAGTGAATGATTTGTTCGTCATAGTCTTAATGAATATAGATCATAATATGGGGAAATTCTATAACAAAGACACGTTTCGTCATTCAGAACTTCATTGAACATTTGTTATGTTGGTAGGACTACACATGCGCAAAACAGTGGGATGCTGGGAAATTTAGAATTTTAGTTTGTTTTTTGTTTTTTTGTTTGTTTTTTTGTTGTTTTTTTTTGTTTTTTTGTTTTGTCAAGCCGAATTTATTTAGAGTCTCTTTCTTCTTTTTTTTCTATCACTTTTGTAAATAGGTATTCCACATTATGATATTAGATCTGCCAGGAATGGTGAAATGTAAAAGCACTGGCTCAAATTTACTATAGATGACTTTGTGATCAAGTCGCTCTCTAGACATTTACGTCTTAGTGAATTATTTTCTCCTTTGATCAGACTAGCATTTTTTATGTCAAAATCGTGGTCAGTCTCGTTAGGGTGCGCAACCAACGCATTTGACGTATTATTTTGTAAAATGTCCCTTCTGTGTTCATATAATCTTCGCATGTGTAGTCCTACCAACATAACAAATTTAGTCCGATGAAGTCCTGAAGGACGAAACGCGTCACAAGTAAATTTTTTTCTACTTTGTCATACAATTTCCCCAATACTCCCTACACGCAAACCGCTCGCGGCCTGCTGGCGGGCCGCCGATGACAACGCCAGTAGTCACAGGGAGGCCACCGGTGGTTCTTTAGCGGTCCGCCAGTGGTAACATTGCCCAGACGAACACGCCGCCGGCCGCTGTCGGGCCGCCGGCAGTAAAAGCTAGTGGCATGCCATCCAGTGGTAGATTGGTAACTTGTGCCTAGGGCTGTTCTTGATATATAGAAAATGTATATCGTTATCTCAGATAATAATATAGGAGTTTTGACCATTACTTTTTATAGTTCGGAAGGGAGACAACTATGGTTCCCTTGATAGTGCTCAAGAAATTTCAAATGTTTCTTTCTGAAGCTCCGTATGATTGTCCTTTTTTTTAGGACGAAATTTCAAAGAAAGAGAAAATGGAAACATCCTTATTTACATTCATAATTTTTCCCTCAGTTTAAGAAAAAGAAGAAGACATAGCCTAGACTGGCACATGGTTAAATAAAAATAAATGGATTTAGAATAACAATGTTAGCTCCAGTTTTCTAATTGGAGGAGAGCTACGAGCATGGAAAATCAGCGTTCGAAATATCAGCTTTGGGGGGGGGGCTCGAACATTGGTCACCGGAAAACATCCAACGATCTTATCTACCTCACCGGCTCGAAGGTCCGTATAGAAAAACTTTTGTAGAGAATCCAGCGAAAAAAAGAAAAAAAATCTATCAACCGTTTTCAGGGGACTTACTGCCACATTTCGTTGAAACATCAGTTCCCGTACGATCGCCGAAGTTAAGCAACGCCGATCCTAGTCAGTACCTAGATGGGTGTCCGTTTGGGAATATAAGTTTCTGTATGCTTGAATGTGCGAGTGGTGTAATGAATAATGTCTCGGAATTATTAATCGGAGAGCCGAATTCCAATTCTCGTTGGGTTCGTTATATTCATTAAGCGTAAATACCCTTGAGGAAATGTATGAATCCACTTCTTCTCCCCCAAGCTATGGGTTAATTCTTAAAACTTGTATCACTAAACTATTAATATCTTAAAAATAAAATAAAATTGCATATCAAATATTCAAACTTTTGGCATTAAATAACCCACAGAGCTTGATATATACGTACGTGTGTGTGTGTGTGTATATATATATATATATATATATATATATATATATATATATATATATATTTGCGATAAAAAATAATTTGTAAAAAGGGTTAGAAAGTAAATCTATATTTTTTAAGGTTTTATTGGAATTTTATTTAAATTTCCACATGTCCTCCATCATTAGCAATGCAAATGGTAATACGATTTTGCAGTTCACAGAAAACATTTGCCAACTGATTTACAGTAATGCCTAAAATCCCATTAGTTATTTTAGGTATACTTAAAAACTAGGTACATTAAACTTTATAACATTTTTACAGATTATTTCTATCGCAAATACAAATAAAGTTATGTTTTTTAAAGTGCACAAACTTTATGGACACCCTATATATATATATATATATATATATATATATATATATATATATATATATATATATATATAGATAGATAGAGAGAGAGAGTCTGACTGTCTGTATCTGTCAGTATTTATTCATGCCGTCCCACTGTGCACCGGATAACTGTATTACTTTCACGGCCTCGCTTTAGAAAATCAGAAGTCAGCGCATATCCTTTTCTGAAATCCACTTTTTATCTTCCTAGAAAGCCTGTCGCAGTTAGTTTGCTAACTTTCTGGTCGACAGACTACGCTTTCGCCTAACTGTTTGTCTTCGGACAGTTCACAAAAAAATAAATGAGAAATGCCTCGTCCCAAGGAATACAACCGCAACACCTCACTCGTTGTACCAAAGAGAGAGGAGTCGGTGAAATATCGAATTTTTGTCCTTGGCACACTTGTCACACTTTAAAAGGGCGTGCCACACCTCACCACCGTGGGGCCGGGAGGCAGTAAACTGCTAGTTTGACGACAACAGCTCTACGCTGATCGCATTTCTCTTCTCATTCAAACGCCAAACTTCGTCTACCATAATTTCTTTCATCAGTCAGTAACTCATGCAATTGTTCATGTTCCAGGACAATCCCTTTTGTTTTGATCTTCAATGCATAACATGCAGGCTACTCTTAAGTTCGAAATAGAAGGGTAGGATTGAATAAAAGGGTCGATTTGAAAATTCATTCATTTTAGTTTTGGACAAAATTTGGAGAGAGGGTTCGAATAAAAGGTCAGTTTAAATAAACAGGCAGACTGGGAAAGGGGGAAAAATAAACAGGTGATCTGAAATAACAGTTGATAGATTGGAAAAAATATAAATTTAAATAGATGGGCAGGCCCGTGTATTCCGGACACGTCAGTAATTGCTTAATCTTGCTTTCAAACAATTGCTTTTTAATCTTAAGCTTTTTTTTAATCTTACCAGGAATATTAAGTTATGTGCAAGAATATTAGACTATCAGTAAAGTCAGTGTGCGGCAATTTTTTAAAAAAATGGCCCAACCCTTGTCTCCGTATACATACCGGGTTCAAATGCGGACAGTGCCAAAATATTTTCTCTCCCCGATAGGATTTAGTGCCATTAGATATTTATCAGAAAGATGATATTTTTTTTTATAAAATACTACTTATGATATCAAGGGTTACATAAATATTTAATACATACGAGAGGATGTTGAAAAGTTCTAAGTCAGACCAAGGCGGATTAAAATAAATAATGTTTGGCTAATTTGTAAATAAGGGAATGTTCAACACCGCTTCGCATCCTTGATTTTCAAACGTCTAGATAAATAATTATTATTGAAATCAGTCAGTTATGTGCCATACATGACACACACTTAGGCGATCATGTGTCTTTTGATACGTGACTGACGAGGCAGATTTTTTCCCGCAGTAGGTTGCTATTTCTTTCTGCAGTAGGCCAGTTGCCATCCAAGGCTACAGAATCCGTTCTGTCCTGCTATTTACCCATAGCTGGAGGGGAGTAGAAGAGGATTCATACCTTTCCTAAGAGTGTTAGCACGTAAGTGAATGTAATTCGACTAGAATTCGAACTCGGCTCTCTGATTCCACAATCCGAGCCGATATCCATAACTTTACCGTATTTTAATGCTTTTTAAAGAACACTTATTTTTGTTAAGTGAAAAAAAAACGTTGCCCTCGACGCGAATGAATTCGAAATTTCACTGTCGGTAACTCCAAAACGGTAGATTTTATCAAATTTATCAAGCCAGATTCGAATGGAGCACGTACAATTACATATAAATATAAGTATTCTGGAAATTGTTAATGCGAACTGAGCGTGGGTGCAAATTAACCAAAAAAACTTCGAAGACATTGGAAGACTTGCACAAGACAGAGAGATTTAGAGAGGACTGATCAAAGATATTTACAAAATTACCGAAGCTAAGAAATCACGCCGATTTGATTTACAATATACCATCAAGTCGAAACGGTTCTCTCAGATAATGAATTTAACTTTGAAGTTCCTGAAAAAATAACACGCGTTACAAAAATAAGTTTTTTTTTTTTCTATATTATCAGTTCAGTTTATTAATAATGTCTTTCTGATATATTTATATCTGTTTCCGTAAAGCAGGCGCCACCTACACAAAGTGGAAAAGGCAAAAAGAGAAAGAGACAGAAAGACAAAGAGAGTGGGGGGGGAGCAGAACACCGATGTGAATGAAATGTGTCCCGAGTATGACATCCACTTCAAAATTGGCACATGTCTCTATTTTATCAATGATTGAAGTATTTCCATTTGAATAATGACAGAAGTATTTCCATGTTTAGACAATGCCTTGTCCACTCCTTTGTTTTGTGCTAAACAGGGTCATGAGTTCACAAAATATGGATACTTGCCGCAGAACGATGGCCAGCAATATGCACACATGCACGAGAGAAAAATAAGTGCGAATAACTTCAAGGAATCTAAAATGAAGAAATCATGAAAAAATAGTTTTTTTTTTCCTTCAATCGCTTCAGTCTTTGAATTTTAGTGAGCTTTCCTATTTATGATTAGTAAATACGATTTTAAATTTAATAACAATATTACTTGACCGCTACAAATTAATACAGAATTTTAAAAATTGAAAATTTTATAAATTATTCTTTTTAAAATTTTAAAAAACTGTAAAATAATTCAATATTTATCAAATATTTTTGTTAAAACTATAGTGTCCATATATTTTATTCATGAAAGGAATTAATTTTTTTCTAATGAAATAGTGTCAGTTTTATTTCATTTTTTTTTTTATTTTACGATTCAGAGCAGAATTTCTGAAACTGTGCGTCCTGTTTCACCAAAATGATTTGACGATTTAAATTCTCCTAGGGCTTGTTCTTATAACAAATATGCATATTAAGCGATACAAAGAAAATTTCTAAAAATTTCATTAAACGATTCGATGTGGAGGTGGCGGGGAAATGTAACAGATGTAAAAAAAATATTTTTACGAAGATTTTGTAAAGGAAACGTTTCAAAAAATTTTTTATTCATTTCTCAATAAGTCCTAAAAGTTTCATTAAAATCCGCCAATTATTTTATTCTTGCAAGAATTTTTAAATCAATGTGTTTTTCCACTACAAAATTTTTTTTTTTTAAATACGCTCAAATTTCGCCTACAAATTTATGGTCTCGCGTTGATTTCAGAAAACAAGCTTTTTAACCAATATTTACAAGGCTCTAAAAAGGTTTAAAAATAAGTTTTATATTTTACAAAAATCCTTTCTTCTTATTAATAACGTTAAAACTATGGTTTGGGCATTTTTTTCATCATGTATCCTCTTTTTTTAATGAGTTTTTTTGAGGTACTTATTTCAAAATCTAGAGCAAGCGAATTTAACACTAGAGACATTGCAGAGAAATTAACCTCTTTAAAGAATTATGTGCCTGAGCAAGACACCACAAATAATTTTATCTACTTTTCTCCTGGTTCTATCTTAATGAAGATACGGGGCAAATATCCAAGAATAAACTAAAAAGGCTATAAACGGCTTTCTATTATTACGTCAATGTCATTTTTCACCCACCAAAATCGAACATTTCCCCCCCATGTTTTTTATATTTCGATACCCTGCAGATTGCAATACCACAAGAGAAACACGACAAAGTATGCCATTTTCTGATAGACCGACCTTTATGAATTAAATTTTAGCTGAAATTAATCTGTTTTTTCTTTATAGCAGAATAACTTGTTTTCCACAATTTTCTTTACTAACAGCGATTAAAATGCAATATGATTATTTTTTTACAATAGTCACCAACTAAGAGAAATACTGTTATTGGTTTTTATCTTACGAATTTCAAGCAAAAAAAATAAGTGACTTAGTTTCTTCATATAGTACGATTTCTGCCCACTGTGTAACGTGCGATCTTAACGTTTGAGAAAATTAACCCAACTTATCGAATATGCGATCCTATCTTTCCATCTGCACCAAAATTAACCCAAAAGCATCCCTCAAGTCTCATATGCAAAGTTGAAGAATCTGGTGGACTAGTGTTTACGCTAGGTACTGTAATCTACCAGTATTCTGGTCCATCGTCATGGAAACGGCCTGGGGGCCTAACCCCCTCTCCTGAAAATCATTTCCTCCTTCCTGAGTAAATGATGTGTATTTATTTTAATTCTTACTCGTGGTCATTCCACCTGACTTAAAAGTCCCCCTACTCAAAACAGTGTAAAAATGGACCTTTCAGTACTTGTATATAGGCTAAGATATTATGAATGCAAACGGGTTGACCTGTCAGCAGGGCTTAAAATATGAGGACTGCATCCATTAAAGAACTGTAAGTCCCGAATATCAAACGGGACAGCTTCAAAATGGATACTCGCAGATTCGAATATAAAC